ATATATATATATGCAAACATCATACACATAAAAGTAAATAAATATTTTTAAGTCTTATTCACATCTGATGGGATGCTAAGCAAGTGAACCAGTATAAATGGCCATATATTAGAGAAACAGAGTTGGTCTGTAATACTAGAAAAAACATTCTTTTTGTAAAGAGAATTGGCTGTCGATGGAATATACTACTTTTGGGGTGACAGGTTTCTTCTCGTCAAGACCCACACTTCAAGCACAGGCTGGAGATAAGACACATGGAAAGATCCAGTAATAGTGGGGATAAGAATGTTCAACAGCAAGTAAATGTTCTGAGTTAAGTGCAAAGATGTGGGGAAATCCTCCTGGGGATCAGGAATGCATCTGTGGGTTCCAGTAGAGGAGTGGAATTTTTATAAAGAAGCAAGGGCTTTAATGATCAGAGAGAGGAATATTGAGTCCTGAAGTCATATCCAAAGTGCTTTTGTTAAGGATTTACCATGGAATCAAGAACAGAGCTCTTTCACACTACTAGAGTGACTGATAAGAGCAATTTTTCCATTAACTATTTGCCTTTTAATATCAGATCTTGCTGTTCATAAATTGTGACTAGGAGGGGATTCCTAATTCTTTGTCTATTTAGAACATTCTGGTCTCCCAGATGTCACCAGGATGGTCCCAAGCCTCTGGAAATTTGCTCAACAATTTGCTAAATAATATTCTCTTCTCTATCAAGTTGATCTGATTTGAGGGCCCAGAGCTCCAGAAGACCAAAGAACAATTCTCCAAAATCCTCCGTTCGTCTGATCAGACAGAAGGGTCCTTACCTAGTTCAGCACAAGACCCTAAGCAGCCAGAGCACAACCCCAGGTCGTTACCTCCCTGGGCAAGGGAAGATACCCACGGCCTCACCTGCAGCCTGTTATCACCCCTTTGGCAGCCTCTCTCTCTGAACACCTGGCTCCTGAGCCCCTCCCTGGAAAAAGCCGTCTTTGTGGCCATCCACCAGGCTTCTTGAGGGCCCCACCAAGACGGTGCCAGTGGAGACAGACATGCCCACCGCCCTCTAGTGGCCGCATCTGGTAAGAGCGAAGAAGAAGCAGAAGTTCCTTGCTTTCTCTTCTGCTGGGTTCTCACAAGGGTTTGGGTTCTGGCATCTGCCAGGATTATGTTCTCGCAAGCGTTTTCTAGCTTTGTATTTCAGTAACCGAAAGGGTGGAATTCCCTTTCCAAAGACCGAGGAGCAAAGGCTCAGGGATCATTGCAGAAGAAGGGGCGGCGGAAAGATTAAAAGAATCAGAGGAGTTAGATGGCTACAAAGAACCAATGCTTTCCGAAAACAACAGGGAAAGATCTGCACATATTCAAGCTCAAGCCAGATAAATGCAAATTTATTACTATGGTCACTCTGCCAAATAACTCTACAGGATTTTAAATGCTTTTCCTAATTTTAAAATGCCTTTCCTTACTGACTACAGATAGACCAGTACAACCCCACAGACCACACTTGCAATGGTAAGACTCAAATCAACAGAGCAACAGTGATCAAAAGCCCCATGAACATCGATTAGGTCCGGGCCTAAAATGCTTCCCAGGAAATCGGCTCAGGAGGGCTGGGGCGGAGCTTTTGGTCATCCATTTACAATTTCCAATGGAAAATGTGTGGGTCGTCACCATTATGCCTGCACAATTTCAGACAAATTAAAGGCTTGTCTCAGTAATTATTGGGGGTATATACACAAACATACATTCATGTGCACAGGTCCTGCACACAGTAGTATAAATTAAGACAGAGAGTTTACAGCCCTGTGCTTCCCTGAGGTTTAGAATTGGTTTACCCTTTAAGGTCAGAAGAAGAGGAGCCTTTGCTGGAATCAGAAGGTAAGATTTTCTGGAACAAATTTATAGGACTAGGAATTCTTTTTTGAGCCCCACCAGAAAAAAACAAAGCTTAGATGTAGATAATTTTTTTAGATCTCCATGTAGGGATCTGGAAAGCCAACATCTGAAGACCAGTGCCTTTGCCTGTAATGGCAAAAATAACCTCATCCTTAACCATTTTAGTGGTGGGGAGCTGGCGAGGGACTGGGTAGAGACACAGCTGCAATAGCAAAGCTGGTAAGAGTTTTATGACTCCACTAATTTTCTATCTGTTCTGGGAATAATAAATGTACCCTCATAGATATTCATGATTGCCCTCAAAAATTTTTTTAAAAATTTAAAAATCCTTTTAAATGGTAAATGGCACAGAAAAGCCTTTCATTCTTGAGGCATATAATTCATGGATGATTTTCAAAAAGTCATGTTTGAATTGGGAAAGTAACATTTCTTGAATTAGTCAGCCAATTGCTTCAAGAATATGACTCAAAGGATATAAAAGTTTCAAGCCTGACTTTAAAAAAAAAAAAAGGATTTTTTTTTCCTATGCAGTTAAGTTTATTTTTCACAAAAGTCATGGCTAAATCCTAGGTTTATTTGCCATGGAAGAGAACCATCTAGATGAAGTATGCCTTTCATTCCTTAGCAAAATGGAATCTTAGCAAACCCTAACAGGCATCACAGATGGTCCCATCACTTTGTCCAGTCCTCTTCTCCTTTAGAACCCTCTGTACCTGGCTTTTCTGGTATTTAACTTTGGGAGGTTTTGTTGGGGGATGGTGTTTTTCTTTTTTCCTTTTTTTAGAGACAGGGTAGCCCCAGCTGGCCTGGAACTCCCTATGTAGACCAGGCTGGCCATGAACTCACAGAGATCCACCTGCTTCTACCTCCAGAGCGCTGGGTTTAAAGGCGTGTGCAATCACATTCAGCTGTTTTTCTTTTCTTAATTTATTTTTATGTGTATATGTGTAATTGCATGAGTTTATGTGCACAACACGCCATGTAGGTACTAAGAACTGAACCCAGGTCCTCTGCAAGAACTGTAAGTGCTCATAACTGCTGCACCATCTCTCCAGTCCTTTTCTTCTTTTATCAACCCTAGTCTTTGAAAAGTTCAGCAAATGGACACAGAGAAAGCAAAAACAAAAATACAAACAACAGCCCCACCCTAAAAGAAAACCCAGGGTCTTCCAAAATGAAATTCTTGTCGACATAAGCAAAGTGAGGGCTTTGCAAAGGGGAGACAGGAGAGACCCACACCACTGACACATCTGTCCCCAAGGAGTCCCAAATAATCTCAAAGCCCTGGTCAGGTCAGCCCACTGGAGACCAGGAGGGATGGAAGTTTCAGGGCTATGTGACTGGGCTCCCTCCTCCATCCAGGCAAAAGAGAACAAGGCATGAGTAGCTATGGAGGACAGACTTATGGCCTCTACTCACTATGAGTAGAGGCCAGGCCACCCCCTCCCTGTCTCAGG